CGATATTTTATAATTCTGTTAAGATCCAGGAGTGCCATTTTCACTTCTCTGTCGGAGATAGGTTCAGGTGGGACGATTTGCGACTAAAATGTTGACTTATGATATGCGCTGCTACCTTAATGCACTTGGGAAGACGAGTATAGGTTTTGTTCACAAAAATGTCGATAGCATGTAACACGGCGAACGGTGGTAACCTACACATGAATTATTTAAAAACCATACCTCGCCTCAACAAGATTGTCACGGAGGAGCGAAGACAGACTGTTGGCAGTGCTCAGCAAAAAGAAGCTCTGCTCGTCTAAGAAGTTGGAAATTTTCTATGCAAGATCTAAATAAGTAAACTGGATCTTAGGTTACTTCGCATTTGTCAACTTTCGAAGCGCTATTCGCCCACTTTACAAGGGCCTCAAGTCTTATGAATAAGTTCCTGGTTCGGCTGAAAAACTTGGCAAGTTCGATTTTCTTTTCTAAGTCCGTCTTACTCGGGAGTCTAATTAAAGTGCCATTGGTATAATAAAAAAGCATACAGATCAACTAAACGCATTAAATCCGTATACGTTTTCTGGCAAAGAAATTCAAGCATTGTCGATAAAGGAATTGTTCCTGGACGAGGGTGGGAAACGACATGCCTGCTATCGGAGAGTTGGGACATCTCTAACCACGAACCCGTCCTACGCGGTTAACCTTCTGTTCATTAAAACTATCTTTTGCTTTGTTTTTATGGAAGTATGAGGCGGTAGTTATTTCTGACTTGCGAGACAAAGTTCACACCTACAGCGCCGAAAAACATAACTGCATTTCGCGGAGGATCTACAGGCAGTTTTTAAGCAGTCTCCTTTTGCCGATAGTTTTGCTTATTTAAACTAGTCGTTCAAACTTTATGAGTCTTATTTATGATATTTGCTTAAGTAACCACGCAAAGACACTGGAGTCGGACCGCGCTACTCAATAAAATTCATGAATAAGTTAAATAAAGTTAACGACTTTGGTTAGTACAGTAACTATCGTCCGTGGAAAGATGTCAAATGTGTAAGTTTTGGGAGAAGTCAGATGATTCATCGCACTGGATTAGCCAAATTTCCGCCGAAGGCGTTCGCAAGAAGACCGTTGACTTAAGGCAACATTTCAGAGAAAATGCTGACTTACAAAATTTTATCAGGCAACCGCACGTTTTGGATCTTGGTTCCAAATTTTCGATCACCGAGGAATTCGTGTATTTGTAAGTTCTTACAGCCCGCCAGTAAGAATAAGTGGATTTGACCCATTGATTTCCAATTTTCACATATTTATTGCCGGGTTTCTACAGAAGGAACCGCTGAATACGGTCTTCCGTTTTCACTCCATAGTTAAAATCGAGAGGATGCCCCAAGGACAGTGTAAAGTATTGTTGCGAGCCGGAATCGGACCCCGGTAACACTGTGGCGTCACCAAAATAGTGGTCTATAGACTGTTGTCTCGCGTTCACCGGGGTGAAAAAAACAAAGAAATGAACATCTGCAGTACTAAATATGACTGAAACCTCGTATATTTTTCTAGTAAGTCAACTCCCGTCAAACAGGCAGGCAGTTTAATAAGTTCGGTGAACATAAATTATGAAGACGAAGCCGATACGGCATGTTTCGGACTCCCTGAAAAAGTTTTAGAAATGTGGAAGGGAATAGAGGACTTCAAAATGGAAACGGAGAAGTCGAGACATCTCTCTTGTCATTTACTCAAAGGGGGAAACTTAATGATATCAGGAATTCTGAAAAAGGAGGAACACACGTAAATTATGTCAATCTAGGAGAAAAAGATCGTGTGTATATGGGGCCCCGCATAGATAAGAGTCAGAGCTTGACCGGCGAAAATGGTGACCAGATAGAATCTTAGAAAAAAAGCCTCAGAGCATTTTAAAAAGACAAACATTTAGATTGGTTAAATGAATTTAAGTACGCCACAAGCAAAAACCATGCTAACGAAGTTCACAAAAGACGAAGAAGTCCTAGTAAGCACTGAACCATGAGTTAGACGTGCCAAACCAAATTCCTCTAAATCATTTAAGAATCACAGAGATTTTAAAAATGGCCTCAATGATGTGCCAAGCGCGCGACAGGCGAAGAGAATCACTTGCTCTCAGTGATTTAAACCTTGCCAAATCCATTCCCGTCATCTTTCGTCATCGA